ACAGCTCTGCCCTGGACCCCACTCACAGGGACCCTGATGTGGGCAGAGTGGGGTTTCAAGGAGCACCACAAGGGACCAGGTAGCTGTGCAGCAGGCTGCAGTTCAGTTGTTAGCATGGGGTCCCCTAGGGTCCCTGTGTCCCCGGGGTCTTTCTCACCTTCAGGGAGAGCTGCTTCCCACTCCTGGGTGGGGTGCTGTGGTAGCTCAGGCTACCGTCGCCCTAGGGTACCAGCTGGGCAGCACTGCTGGGCTGCGCACTTCTGCATGCATCATCCTGAGACCCTGTGCCTGCTGCTGTGTGTCCCTGAGGGTGCCTGTGACTTCACTCTGCCCTGAGTGAGTTCTGTGCTCTCCAGTGTCCATGAGCCCCCGGAGTTGCTGTGTCCTGGGTTCTGCACTTGCCCTGACCATGTTCTTACTCAGGCCTGAAACTCCAGGGTAACGGCGAGGTGCAGGTGTCTCAGCAAGGACAGAGGGCAGCTCTGTGCTCTGTGGGCGGGTTTATGAGAAAGCTGGGGACATTCAGCCTAAGAGCAAGCAGTCCCTGTTAAAGAAAGACGGTGAGGATTTTACTTCTAAAGAGAAGCTGAGATCTTTCCCACCTTGCCTTGTATTTTGAATAAGATATTATAGATCAGGAGAGGTGTGCCTTTCAGACAGTATACGATGTTCTGTGTGCTCTCTGAGACTGAAACAACAAAACCCTGAGCAAATAAAGATCTAAACATAAAAATCCAAACTACACAAATCTTAGACAGAAATGCACTTTTAGAATATTGAGGAAGGCCTTCATAGTCAAACAGGAAACTTAGACACCATAAAGAAGAAAGACAGCTTGATGGCAAAAAATTTATATCACAGAGAAGCTCACAGCAAAGTTTAAAGGAAAGACAAACTGGAGGAATATTTGCAGCACATGCAGCAGAGGAAGGTTTGTAGCCGTACCATTAGGTAAAGATTTCTTACCAAATGCATGAGAAATAAATGAGAAAACTACAAATAAGCCAGGAGGATTGCGAAAAAGGAAAAATACAAATTACCATAACCATAGGGGGAGATCTAAAATGACGAGTAATTGGGAAAACACAGATTGAAACAAGGTATGGATTTTTGCCCATCAGATTGGTGCAAGTGGAAAGTTCGAGTCTCCTGGGTTAATGAGGATGCAAAGGACCTGTCCTTTTCCCAGAAAGAGCCTAAGCTAGCACCGCCTTTTCATTAAGCAGGCTCTCAGTAACCATAGACTGAACACGAGCGGGCACGCATTTTGGCGCTGCTTGGGACACTGGAAGCCTGTATCCATGTCTGTGGGTTCAAGTCCTGGCTGTCCCCAGTCCCAGCTTCTTGCTAAGCTTGGGAAGGCAGCTCGACTAGTTGGGTCCCTCCCTTTCACCTGCTGGGAGACCTGGATGGAGTTCCTGCCTCCTGGCTTTGGAGTGGCCCAGCACCAGCCATTGCAGACATTTGGGACGAGAGCCAGCACATGGGAGTGTGCTTACTCATCCTCTCCCTCTCTCTCTCCTTGTCTCTCCGCCTCTCAGAGAAATAAAATAGATAAGTTAAAATGATTTTAAGAATGATGATGCCCTTGACCCAAAAGTTTCACTTTTTAGGCCTCTTCCCATAGATACACATACACACACTCACATACATACAGTCTTTTGGTCATAATGGACAAACGAAGAAAAGCAAAGCAGCAAACAGCCCTCAGGGTCCGGCCCAGAACATCTGTGCTGTGGGGCAGAGAGCCACTGCAGGGGACCAGGTCAGCTTCTCGGTGTTTACAGATGTCTGTGGTGTGTGAAGTGAAACAATAAAGCAGAACGAAGCATTTTGTACGATGCTTCTGCTGCTGCACAGGCAGCCTCACGCGGCAGAGACAGACCCCACTGCGAGTGCGTTTTCCTCAGGGCGGGCTGCAGACTGGGAAAGCAGAGCTTGATGCTACACTCTGCTTCCTTCTACAATGTTTAAATGCTCACGTCTACAGCAGCACTCCCTTTCAAGTGAAATGCAAATACACCAAAATACCCATAGCGTCATGAAAACAGGATTCGACGTGCCTTGCTGCCAAGGGCTGTCTGCGTGGCTTGCTGTATTTCAACAGAAGGTGACCCATGAGAGCTTCCTGCAGGATCCCTCACTGCCACCTTTGCTTCCCACGTCCATAAAGCAATGACGTTCTCTCGACAAAAGAAAATGTTAGTAAGCCCCAGGGCAGGCTTTAATGGGAAAGGCACACTCCGCCGTGTATCCACACATAGAAATCAGGGTTCGTAAAATAAGGCACTGTTTGGGATTCTGTCTTCATCACTGTGTTCTCTGCCTTGAATCGGAAGTGGAAGTAGCTCCCTGCCCTTTCATGTTGTTGGCTGGTGCAGCCTTGCCTCGGGTTGTAGCTGCCCCTCTGCACTCCTGTGTGGTACCCGCATTGTTCTCTGCAGCCTCCATCCTGCAGAGGGTGCACCTGTGCAGATGGGAAGAGCCTTCTCCACCAGGGTGATCTCCAGGGTCACCCATCGGCTCACCTCTTCTCCCTCCCAGCTCCGCCTGGTGCTGGACACCAGGACTACCGTGAAATAGCGGTGGGCTCGCGATGCAGTTCCGTGTGAGAAACAGGTTGAAAAAGTATGCAGGGACCTCTCTATCGGAAGTGATCAAGGAGGGCCTCCAGATGCATGGCCAGGGGCTAGCGTGGTCCTGAGGCACAAGGTCAAGGCCAGGTGTCAGACACGGGACGGTGCTGTGCAGAGGCATTGCTGGGTTCACACGCGTGTCACCCCCGCCCAGCCCACACTTACATCTGTACCCCAGTTGCAAAGGCCCCAAGCACCCGCTCCCTGACTGGAGCCATTTCACTGTTTCTCACAAGCTCCAGGAGACACATGGAGGTCCATCAATGTGGTGGCCCCCTCAGCAGATACTGGGACAGGCCATCCCCGTCAGCCATTAAGCCTTAGGGGATGTCCCAGAGCCGCTTGGAGTGGGTGTTCAGTGGGGATAGCAGCACCAGGCATTGCCGACTGCCGGCCTTCAGCGCCACTCAGGGCATTGCTTCCTGAGGCTCCCCCAGGCACTTGTGTCCACTGGGTAGGGTGATGTTCACTCTGACCTTTGATTGCCAGCTAGGGGTGCCCCTAACAAATCTGCCTGGCCCTCGGAGCTCGCCTGGCTGTGGCTCAGCAGTGTGGTTCCCTCACCCTCTGCTCCCCATTCTCCAAGGTGCAATTCAGGGCCAACCCCCTTCTCCTAGAGGCCCCAAGGCCAAGATCTGTCCAGCCCAGTTCAATGGGCACATTTAAATATCTTTGTCCTAGGGTGTGGGGGGTCAGGGGGTGGGAGTGGAGGACGGTGCCAATGGGTAGCACATGGTAGGATCCAAGACGATCCTCAGTCTTTCTTCAGCCCAGCCCTGCCTGCTCCCAGATTGTGGGTGGCAGGTGCACAAAGCCATAAATACGGAGGAGGGGGCAGTTTGCTGCTCAGTCCATTCCCGCATCATCCCCAGTATGAAAGCGTACACTGAGAGGCCGTGGCCCCGCGTCCTGCTGCAACCAGAGGATATCCACACACGTGTGCACATGTATATGTGTGTGCTTATACCTATGTGTGTGCTGTCAGTTCAAGGCAGTGCTGTAGTTGACAGAGCTCTGCCCTCTGCCTCCTGCCTTTTGTTGTATCCCACACTCCCACCTCCCACTAAGTTGTGTACCCAGTACTTAGCCCCCTCCATCTGCACCCCTCGCACACCAACAAGCCCTTTCAGCATGGGGAGATGCCCAGCCACGACCTGGAAGGCAGCAAGACTGGGTTCTAGAGCTGGCCTTGGGCCCTGAGCCTGCCTCCCTCCCTGCACAGCAGGGCTGTGAATCCCCTGCCTCTTCCCACCCTTGTTCCCCATGGTGCTGTACTCATGGGGGAAGAAGGCTGGCAAAACCATCCTGGTGATGGCATCATGGTGATGCCAGAACCTCAGAAGGGACCTGACCACCCATAAAACACGGTGCCCACACGACTGGAAGCAACAGCCATGGATTTCTAACTCATTCACAAAGTCAGTGCCTTTGAGGAAAGGGGGCTAAGAGCCACCCTTTTAACATTTACCAGAGATCTTCAAAAAGTCCATGGAAATACATATATGAAAAAAAATCAAGCACGAATTTCAAAAATTTTTTGCACCAAGATAAACTTCCCTTTAAGTTCCATTTCTCCATGAACTTTCTGAACTCCCCTTATCTTTCCCCTTCAGCATACGGTTCCTGAGTGAATGTGCTTGCAGACGCCACTCAACCACCAAGTTGGGTCGAACTTTCTAGTTCTTTCTAGAACTTTCTAGTTTGGGAGAAATCATACCCATGTGGAGAGCCTTTCTCAATGCCCCTTGGGCAGGGGACTGGGGGCTGCCATTGGCAGGGGAGGAGATTAGGTGACAGGTGAGACCCTGGGTTTTCATACCTGAGAGAAGGAGGTGCCCAAGGGTCCACCCAGAGTGTGGGGTGGCCACGCAGCTGGCACACTGGGCTGGACTTGGAGCTCCTCTGTGGACACTGGGCACAGTCACAGCCAGCAGAGTGTGTTTTCTTCCACCCTTCTGACTACAAAACTGCAGAGATGGGGTTTGTGGACTGCATGATGCCGAGTCCCAGAGGTCTGCTGGAAGAGCCCCTCTCAGGTCCCCTTTCCTCAAGATGTTAGAAGGTCAAGGTCTGGCAGGGGCCTTGGACCGCAGGCCTGGACCCAGTGTCACGTGTGGCCAGAAGCATAGGCTTGACCGTCCGTCAGCCCTGGACTTGACTCGCAGCCCAGCCACGAGCTGGTTGTGTGCCTGTGCCTCAGTTCCTTCCTCTCTAAAGTGCGGTGATCGTGTCTGTCTCCTGAGGTCCCGTGAGGACTGGGTGCGTGCAGGAGGCCTCTCCCCTCCTGGTCAGTGCAATGCCTCAGGGGTGGGGTGCAGGCGCAGGGGCACCAGTGGCTCACGCTCTTTCCTCCTCTTCTCACAGCGGAACTGGAGTTTGCCCAGGTCATCATCATTGTCGTGGTGGTCACGGTGATGGTCGTGGTCATCGTCTGCCTGCTGAATCACTACAAAGTCTCCACGAGATCCTTCATCAACCGCCCAAGCCAGAGCAGGAGGCAGGAGGACGGGCTGCAGCCGGTGAGTGTGGGCCTGGACCACCCATCCGGGGAGACCTTTCTGTCCTCAGCCTGTTTGAGGATCTGCAGTTCCCGAGAAGGCTGGGGAGTGGTGAGCTGGGCAAAGCTAAATTCTCAGAAGCGCCGGTGGGCAAAGCAAGCAGAATCCTGCAATACTCAGTTTGCTGGGCGGTAGGAGATGCTTTGGGTGATGTGTCTCTGTGGGACAAGAGCTGAGCAGTAGCTGCCCCTTCCTGACTGAGGGAGGCCACAGTGGTGGTGGGGTAGGTACTGTGGCGTGGTAGCCAGGCCCAGCACCCATGGGGCCCCTCTCTGCGGGCAGGTGAGCTGAGCGTTGCTCAGGGAGCTACGGACTTGGTTGTCCCACGCGTGGAGTTCAAGTTTGCTTGGGTGCTCTGCAGCTCCCCACAGGTAGAGAGGAGAGGGGAGGCCCCAGTGCCTCTGTGTGTCTGCAGCTTGTGGCCTGGGCTGTATGGGGGCCAGAGTCAGCCCCAGCACGCCCTTCTCCCTCTTTTCTTCCTGCACCCTCTCCTGCTCCATTTCGCTCTCCTGGCCTCCAAGCCCCTCTGGCCCTGCTGCATGGCCTGTAGGTTGTTGCCCTTGGACAGCTGTGTTACGTGAAGGAGCTGACTAACTCTTTGGAACTTCTGAACACAAAACACACAGACTTCTCCTGAGTTGAAAGAGAGGGGCCAGGGAGAAAGGCCTCATCCCAACAGCAGTTCTAGAGCTGCCACGCTTTGCTTCCATGCGAGGGCTGTGACAGTGACCCCAGTTCTGGTGGACACAGCGGGGCTCTCCTGGGACATGGTAGCATCGGGCCACTCCCATGTGTCCCCAGAGGCTACCCTAGCCTCCTTATCATGCTGTCCATTCCAGTACCCCCAAATGCTTGAGATCCTTGCAAGCACCGACACAGAGCCTCTCCCAGCCCCCAGCCTGGCCCCCTTCTTCCTCTCGGACTTGGGCATAGCGTTCTTCTTTGCAGGGGCCAGATGCAGGCCCAGCCCACCGTGCAGTCACCGTCCCTAGTGTGTTGTGCCCTGAGCATCGGCACACAGTCTCCCCCACGCCAACCAAGGGGCACAGCAGGAAGATGATGTTACAAAGGCAGCCAGCGTCTTCTGTTGCAGGTGGGAAGCCCCTCCTCGCAGGGAGCAGCTGGGCCACTGGCAGGAGGCGCTGGCTGGCTGACCAGCAGGGCCTCTCCATCTTGAAATCGGAAAGTGGCCAGCGTGGGCCAGCGCCATGGTTCACTTGGCTAATCCTCTGCCTGCGGCTGCAGCACCCCAGGTTCTAGTCCCGGTCGGGGCACCGGATTCTGTCCCGGTTGCTCCTCTTCCAGTCCAGCTCTCTGCTGTGACCCAGGAAGGTAGTGGACGATGGCCCAAGTACTTGGGCCCTGCACCCACATGGGAGACCAGGAGGAAGCACCTGGCTCCTGGCTTTGGATAGGCGCAGTGCCGGCCATAGCGGCCATTTGGGGGGTGAACCAACGGAAAAGGAAGACTTTTCTCTCTGTCTCCCTCTCTCACTGTCTAACTCTGCTTGTAAAAAAAAATCAGAAGGGATGAGAGACAGAGAGGCCCCTTGCTGTCTGCACACAGTGTGGCTGTGAGCACAAGCAGTTGCAGTGTGCAGTGTGTGCACCGAGGTCTTATCCCCAGGGCTGAGTCCCAGTGCTGAGCTGGGCCTGCCCAACTCCTTCACAGCCAGCCTGTGTGTGCTGTCCTCCCAGTGACCCAGAACTGGGTACGCGTTGTAGCACAGACCAGAGGCCATCCCGTCCCTGTTCTTCGATCCATTTCCCCTCCAGGACTGTTGGCCTTGTGTGGAATCCAAGGAGAGGGAAGCGTGGGTGAGGATGGAGCCCTGCTTCTCTCCTGGACACAGGTGCGAGCCTGGAGAACTCTGTGGGTGTGGTCACCCCATGCATGGGGTCCTGTCCCTCTCCTGAGGGTCCCCAGAAGTCCTCTCCACCAGCAGTGCTGCCCCAGGCTTCCTGCCTGCCGATCGCTTCCTCCTCCTCCTCTTCTTCCTCCCGCAGGCCTTTGAAGAAATACCCATTCCGTTCCCTTTACACTGCTCACCCTCACCAGAGCCGTTTTACCCCCTAGGGGCTTCTGATCATGTCAGGAGGCATTTGTGGTTGTCAGAGCAGGAAGTGTGTGTGGTGGGGGTGGGGGTGGGATCTGGGATGCTGTGAACCTCCCATAACACACAGGGCTCTCCCCGCCCCAACACGCAGTCATCCAACCCCCAACGTGAGCCTACCTTGGGCTGAGCTGAGCACTGGTCCTTGGGGACCTCCCCCACTGCCCGAGGGTCTGCAGAGTCAGGAGGGATACTTCCCAGCTGTGTGGGGTGGGGCGGTGGGGCCTGGCCTGCGACTCTGCTCTGGGAACCCTTTCCCCGTGACTTCTGCAGGCTTCCTGGGTATGGGGGCTTCTGTCTGCGTTCATTCACTGGCCCCACCAGGAACCTGGCTCAGCCAGAGAGCAAGGGATCGAGACCATGCTCTGCCCTCAGTGCAGCAGGCCCACCTGCTGAGGCTCAAGGCCACTTAGTCTGTGGGTGGGGCTGTGTGTCAGGAAGTGTTTGGGAGAGGCTTGAGGAGCCATCGCTGTCCACACTCCATTGCCCGGCCTGGCTTTGCTGATGTACCCTGGCACAAGGCAGTTTCCAAGTTGTCTTCCAGCCTGCCTCTCTCGGCATCCTGGTGGCCTCCTCCCCTGAGGGGTTAGAAGGAGCTAGGCAGGGGCCTGGCTGGAAGTCCCAGCATGGTGGTAAGGGCTGTGCACCTACTGACCACGTGTGGCAGCCCTGGCCTCCTGGCTCCCCAGGAGCTGGACCGATGTGAGGCCCTGGAGGGCAGTTGGTGGGCGAAGGAGCCCGTGTTTGCACTGCTGCTGTCCGCAGGTCTCACTTCCGTCCTCATAGCACTGGCGAGCTCCCGAGGCCCCTCCGTGTTGTCAGCACTGAAGTCCCAGGCTCTCCTACCCAGCACCCATGTGGCTGTGGCCTCTGCACCCTGCCGGGTGGCAGTTTACAATTGAGGGTGCCCTCTGGTGGCTTCTTTGTGGGGAGCGTCTCTTCCTGAGCCTGCAGTCCCTGGGGCCTCCTGCCTCCAGGGGGTTTTGGCCAGCTTGGTAGGGACCCCACAAGGTCTCAGGAACGTGTTAGCAAGAACCATGCTTGTTCTACAAGGGCACCTGATTTCCTGACACTGGTGGTTCCGTTTGTGTTTCTGCAGAAGCCTCGGCACTAAGGTGGGGAGATCTCGGGACGTACCTGGGCAGGGCCGGAGCCATGTTTGCCAGGCAGCGGCTCAGCTGTTGGTATTGGGATTTGGTTGAGGAAACGCCGCCCCTCTGGTGTGATCTGCCCTCTCCTTGGTAATGGACTTCCACTTGACCTAAATTAAGAGTCAGACGGAGGGTGGTAGAAACAGGCTGTTGGCAGTTCTGCTCGTCCCTGGTCCCAGGGAAGAAGCCTTTTCTGCAAATCTGTGGTTGGCCAGGGGCTGGCACGAGCCCTCTCTTTGCTGGTCCCTCTCTCTGTCCAAAGTGTTGTGTGTTGCCAGGGCATGGTAGGCGCCTGTGCGCCCTGAGGCCACCCTTCCGTGGTTCCCATGGTATCTCAGAGACACCATGTGTCCCATGGGCACCCAAGGAATGTGTGATACTGTCCTGAATTTGGTAGAAGCAACCACTTCTGGGTGAAAAAGAAGAACAGCCACCAAGGTTAAGTTCAAAGACAGAAAAAGTCAATGTGTACCGACAGCCGCGGTGGCCTTGTGAAGCAGTCCTCATGTGTGCATTCTGAGGTGGCCTCCGCTTGCTGTCTGGAGCCTGGTGTGGGCGGTTCCAGCGTGTGGAGACTGTCTGGATTTCTTTGCATTGCCTTCTGACGAAGGGGAGTAAATGTTCTCGACTCTGCCCTGAGGGAGGTCAGCACCACGTTTGAGGAGACCCAAGCAGCCCTTGCTTGTAGCCTGCAGCTGCCCTGGGGCCATGGGCAGTGTGTGTGCAGACTGGCACAGAGGACAGCAGCGAGCACCTTGGCTCAGTTGGAATCCTATGAATTTGTGGGTCTTCAGCCATTTTCGACCAATGAAAGCAGCCAATTACAAGTGAACAGCGCAAGTCATGGCAGGCATTTCTTCATCAGCACCTGCTGCTGGGATTAAACCAGTCATGCACCTGCAGGAGCCTGAGCTGCTCCAGCTCTATGGGAGCTGCAGGTCCAGTGTGGGGAAGCAGGCCACTTGCTTGTCCCCTGGAATGGAAAGGAGGATGGGGACTTGGCTGTCACCTCTGTTGGTGCAGAAACTTCCTGAGATCCATCGTGCCCTGGGCTGGAGTGGGTCCCAGTGGGTGCATATGTGGCCTGGAGTGTGGCCAGTGTGTGTAGTTTGCCATTTGGGGTGTCCTAAAAAAACTTCATTCACATTTTATTTTATTTTTATTTTAAAGACTTATTTATTTGAAAGGCAAAGTTACAGAGAGAGAGGGAGAGACATTGACAGAGAGATCTTCCATCCACTGGTTCACTCCCCAAATAACTGCAACAGCCAAGGCTAAGCCAGGCCACATCCAGGAACCAGGAGCTTCCTCCAGATCTCCCACATGGATGCAGAGACTCAAGCACTTGGACCATCTTCTGGGCCTTCCCAGGCGCATTAGCAGGGAGCTAGATTGCAAGTGGAGCAACCGGGACTCGAACCACTACCCATATGGGATGCTGGCACTGCAGGTGGTGGCTTTGCCCACTGTGCCACAGTCCTGGCCCCTTGATTCACATTTTAGAAGATGGGAGACTTTATCTAAAAATTAGAAATTCTCTAGAAAAGGCAGCATCCCGGGCCACCCTGGCTTCTCTTCTGGCCTGACACCCCCAGGCTGCGGCTTAAGGCAGCTGCCACTCAAGTTGCGCCTCTGCTGGGCTCTGGCTGTGGGCCCATCTCTGTGTCCCTTGACACCAGGGCTGTCTCATCACCAC